CACACACACACACACACACACACACAGATCACAGAAATCCAGGAAAGTTTTCAAGCCTACATCAGAGGGACTTCAGCTCTGTTTCTCATCCAGCTGTTTTCCTTGGCGTCACGTTTCCAGTTCTCCACCTGGAGGACCTCATGACAGGGCAGTGATGTAAAGCCTGAATGGTTCTCTTCTAATCAGGGAGACATCCAGGGTGGGAGACACGGTCAACAATTGCCCCCCTCCACTTATTTTTTCAGGGAGACTTGCAGGAGAGGACTGAGGCACTGAGCCCACTCTGCTCGGGCACTGCCTGATGTCCATACAGAAGGACTGGGGATCCTGGCCAGTTGACCCAGAATATTGCATGGCTTAGCCTTTTCTTGTGGTAATTCCTGCCCACCTATTTTTCTCTTTCTTACCATTTTTTTTTCTGGGCTCTGGATCTTGCCTGAGCTTCCTCTAGAGCAACCGATTTCTCTCTGCCTTTACCCTCCCAATCCCTATACTCTCCTTCATCCACACGTCAGTACTAATCATGCTTTTATTTGTTCTTGACAACATAGTTTGACAACAATTACCCATATTTCTATATTCTTGCCTTAACCTCTCTTATCTGTTGTTCCAGAGTGGCTTCTGTAAAGGATTTGCAGAGAGTAGGTTTTGGGGGAAAATGATCCCAGAGGCCAGAAGGAGAAGATAAGTGCAAAGGCGCTAATGAATGGCCAGGCCCCTTAGAAACCCTTAGGGCGTCAGGACAGCTCTTGGTATCTCTTCTGAGACTCTGGTTTCAGGAGAAGATTAGCCTCGGTTTCTACACCTGGACCCCATGCTACCATGTAGGCCTTTTAACCTAATAATTAGAACACCTTAATCTCGGGATTCCTTTCCCCCAACACACTGGGGTCCTCTCCCTCCCTAAGGGTCTGTTTGAGAGCTGGCCAAGGGGGTGCGCTGGCTCTGTTCAGGGGCCTCTAAACTACCTGTTCACTCTTGCCCGGTTTGTAAGGACTCTTAAGCCGCTTGTCCACTTTCTGAACCTGGGCTACCACTGATGAGCTGAATGCCATACCCTGTCAATAACTCTAGCACTGGTCATGGGACATTGACAGATGCACGCAGGTCCTGACCGGCAGCCATGGGGCCTAACAATGTGCTTCAAAAGTACAAATACATTTTGCTTCTGTGATGCCCAATTTTAAGCTTTTGGGGAAAAAAAATGATCTCCGGGCCTTGTCTGTTGCACTCAAAGCAGATTTGAGCGCTCGGTCACCGACACCCCCACTCCTTGCTGCCTGTGAGACTGAAGAAGTGGTTCTCTCTGGCAACACTGAGGACCTCCAGCTCCCAGACAGGCCCCCATTCCCTCCAAGCCTGTAAGATGGGACGTTTTCCTGTTGGCGTGCGAAGCCTGCCTCGGGTCCTCTCTCTGGGAGTAGCGAGAGCTATCACCAGGGTGAGGCAAATCCCAAATAGCTTCTCTTGTTGAGCGTCAATGGGTTGAGACCTTCTTAACGTGTTTCACTTGTGATCTTTTAAAGCTGTCAGACCAGAATGATTTTCAGTCACTTTGCTCGGGAGTGGATTTAAAATCATGTCCCAAAGGTGGTAGATTAATAGATTAAAAAGGCAAAGTATTAATCTAGCACATCGTCCTGTCTCCTTCCCCGTAAGATATAGTATAACTGTCATCAGGCCCTGGCAGGTCTTCAATGAAGCGTCAGCACACTTTGAACAGACGCCTCAGAGATGCATCCACCAGCCATTAGTTACCCTGGCTTCAGGAACCCTCTGGAGAACCATCTGGGGGAGAAGAGCTTGTCCCCCACCCTGCAGAGCACACCAGGTCCCTGTGCCATCCGCCCATCTGGACCTGTGAGCATGCGCATGCTGCCTCTCTCACACACAGGGATGCTAGTCACCTGGGCACCTCCCTCTCCATTTCCTGGAAATGAAATCATATTATTCTTTGTTCCCCCCACCCCCCCTCCAAATGTCCAGGAACACTGGTGGAAGTTAGTAAGGGAATGGATTCTGTTTGTCCCTGGGCTATCAGAAGCCTTGGGTGAACAGGAGAGCTTGAATCCATATTAGTATGAGACCTTCCCAGCT